AAAAAACACTTTTGACTTTTGAAACAAAATAAAAATTATAAAAGTTTTGATGTCGGCCCTGCACAATCGCAAAATAATTACGATTGCCAGCTGATCGTAGAAAAATTCACCTTCAGTAGGTCGGAATCAGCTGCTTTTTGGGGTAATGTTATTGTTTATGTTTGGTATTAAGTTACGGATCAGCTGAAGAAGATGCACTCGCGTTAAGGTCCATTAGATGACTGAACATGTTAGAAAAACAACGTACCTATCACAATCGAAAATCCCATGATCGTAAACTGAAGTGGACCTAATGTAGCCCACGACGTCGAGTATAATGTTATTTTACATAGAAAAGAAATTATAACGATTACGGAATACTTAGAAGTGGTTCACAAAGTTTGGTAGAGGTTTGTAACAACGTACAAGTGTACGAAAAGAAATGTATGTGTTATGGTTGCAACAGTTGAGATAAGATGCATACCTAATTGACCAATCACATATGTTAAATGGCTCATTCTGGCGTTAGTTTTGCTTGGCAGAGCTCATTAACCCCACGTGGAGTAATACAAGGGTGTGTCAAGAAGGACCAATTTTGGTTATTTTTTTTTCATTAAATGTAAAAAGCTAAATATGTATTAATATAACCTCGTATAATTACACTGTTGGAAGTGACTGGAATAAATACGCATAATGTCGTAGTTTCTAAAAGGTTCTTCAGTTTGCTTTGGATTGTTGTGGAATTTACTTATTTGTCAGTATTAGTTTATTTATTTAGTGGTCATTTCATAAAAGACTATTACAATAAGGATAATTAGTGGTGTGATAGTGCATTCTAGGAGGGTTCTTATTCAACCGTCAGTTGGTGGTGAGTTACATTACCAATGCCTTTCGTATAATTCGAAATATTCCCGGTATCTGGGCCTGGGCCAAAATTCGCAGCAACTGGGTACGGCGCTGTCAGAGTTGCATTAAAGCGAATGGCAGACAATTTCAGCATTTTTTATAAAAGGTACGCTTTTCTTTTGGTGGAGGAAGGTGAAAGTACATTCGGCTTCTTCCCAGTAGGTACTTGTTACATCCACACTAGATCAGCTGAGCGACGTTAGTCGCCTAGATCCAGGCCCGTAATGAAACAAATTGTACGATCAAATTTACAAAGACGATTTGCGAGCTCAATTGTCACTGGATTGAAAAATTGTTTAGCACTTTTTTGTTGTATTTTGTGTCAGGAAGCCATGGTTTTTTTTAATTATTATAAATGGGACACCCTGTATATTTAATCTATGTATAGAAAAATCGATATGGCCATATGCTCTGAAAAACGCGGAAGTGGTTCCAATCCACAAAACCGGAGATAAAGCCTGTACACTTGTATCAAGTATTGCTAAATTTTTGGAAAAAATGATTCATAATAGACTCTTCGTCTTCCTGAAAAAATGTAAAATAATTTCGGATAAACAATTCGGTTTTGTCAAGCATACTGGGACTACTGATGCGGATTTACCCAAGGCTTTCGACACGGTAAACCATAAACTTCTACTTGAAAAGCTTGAAAGATATGGCATAAGAAGCCCCACTCTAAAACTCTTCGAAAGCTATCTCTCTGATAGGAAACAAAAGGTTAAAATTAGTGAGTTTTAGTGAATATAAAGTAATATCAACAGAAGTCCCATAAGGAACGATCCTAGGACCACTATTTCTTATACTTACTGTAAATGACCTATTAAGTGATACGCAAAATGGTGCCATAATGTCCTATGCCGATGACACTGTCATCATATCGAGTGATAACACATGGTATCTATCTGAAGACAGAATGAATGTTTGTCTGTCTCAGGTGACACTTTAACTACCTATAAATAAATTATCTTTAAACGTTGATAAAACTGTCTGTATGACTTTTGGCAAACATTGTGATAGTGTACCTAATACCGTAAATACTTATTAATATAAAAAACCAAATGATAAAAAGAGTTGAGTGCCACAAGTACTTAGAAATTTATATAGATTGCAATATGAAGTGAGATAAACATATTAATTATAAAATTNAGACAAACGATTTTTTGTTGTATTTTGTATCAGGAAGCCATGGTTTTTTTTAATTATTATAAATGGGACACCCTGTATATTTAATCTATGTATAGAAAAATCGATATGGCCATATGCTCTGAAAAACGCGGAAGTGGTTCCAATCCACAAAACCGGAGATAAAGCCTGTACACTTGTATCAAGTATTGCTAAATTTTTGGAAAAAATGATTCATAATAGACTCTTCGTCTTCCTGAAAAAATGTAAAATAATTTCGGATAAACAATTCGGTTTTGTCAAGCATACTGGGACTACTGATGCGGATTTACCCAAGGCTTTCGACACGGTAAACCATAAACTTCTACTTGAAAAGCTTGAAAGATATGGCATAAGAAGCCCCACTCTAAAACTCTTCGAAAGCTATCTCTCTGATAGGAAACAAAAGGTTAAAATTAGTGAGTTTTAGTGAATATAAAGTAATATCAACAGAAGTCCCATAAGGAACGATCCTAGGACCACTATTTCTTATACTTACTGTAAATGACCTATTAAGTGATACGCAAAATGGTGCCATAATGTCCTATGCCGATGACACTGTCATCATATCGAGTGATAACACATGGTATCTATCTGAAGACAGAATGAATGTTTGTCTGTCTCAGGTGACACTTTAACTACCTATAAATAAATTATCTTTAAACGTTGATAAAACTGTCTGTATGACTTTTGGCAAACATTGTGATAGTGTACCTAATACCGTAAATACTTATTAATATAAAAAACCAAATGATAAAGTGAGTGTCACAAGTACTTAGGAATTTATATAGATTATAATATGAAGTAAGATAAACATATTAATTATATAATTAAAAAATATTTAATATCTATCTTTGCTAATAATAATACCCTTGTTTCAATAAAAAACACACAGAGCAGAATTTTGAAAACAATAAACAAAAATGAATCATTAAAAAATCCTTCCCCGCTTAATGTAATGCAAATATTTCAGCTAGAAGCTATATTATATCATATTGTCATCATACATCTAGAATTAGGAATAAAAGCATACAACTGCCCAAAATCAAGAAAATCAAAAATCAAAATCAAGAAAAAGTTATTTCGTTACCATGAGAATTTATAATAATTTGACAAACGATCTCAAAATTATGAATACGAATAATCTTATATATATAAAAGAAAGTCGTGTTAGTTACTTCACTTATAACTCAAGAAGAGGAGTTGCAATGTTTAAATGGAACATATATTATTTGTGATCAGATTTACTTGAAACTTTGTTTTAATGGTCTCTCATTTAATTTCTGAAAGATCTATCTCGACAATTTAAAAAAGGGAAAGGTGTTGCAATTTTATTTGTGTACATAAATGNATAAAATTAAAACGTTGTAAGGGTGAATTGGGAGTTAAAAGGTTTTATGGAGAAACAATACCAATTTCTGCGAGCGAAGCGGCGGGGAAAAGCTAGTAACAAATAAAACAAAAAGAAAAAATTAAAAAAATTTATTCTGAATCAGTTAATTTGCTTAATTTCCTTTCCATTTTTTTATAGTATTCACCGTTTCTTTGACTTTATGTATAATTATATATGTTACGTGTAGGTATTAATGATAATATTACTTTCTAACTGTAATTAGAGTGACGTAAGCAAAGGCCTTCACAAATAAGAATAAAAGGGCCTACCCCAAAGTAAGTTAGTTAGTGTAGTCTTGAAACTTAAAATAAACGGTTAACGAAGTAAACCTTGCCTTTTACTTAAATAAGTGTTGCCGTAGGCTAACCTCACTAACATTGAATAAATAAAAAACCGACGAAGTTATCTCTACTTAAATAAGTGTTCGGTGTTTATTCATATTATTTAATTGATAAATCTACATGCTTATCTGAAAGATTAAGCCTAGAACTAAAATATTGTTGCGTGTGTACAAGTGGTAGTTCGTGAACTTCTTAATAGTTCTCCAAAACCTCTGCACGTAACATATATTTGTTTCATTAGCTAAAGCTACTTTTTAGTATGTAAGTAAATCTTGTCTTAATTTGTAAGGATACCAGGCTATATATAGGTAATCTTATTACCTTTTATAGGAGTTATGATGTAATTCTACCTATGTACAGGTGACTATGATCACCTTTTTTTTTTGTATTATAACTTTTTATTCTAGTTTAATAAATACAAATACAAATACAACTTTTATATTGATATGCGCATAGGAAAAATGCATACTTTTATAACAATAATTAAAGATATAGAAAGTGGACCATTGCACTTATTGTTGGATCTTTAAAATGCACCACTTTAAATGGTAGCACTTCACGGTTTTGTCATACATTTTGGTCATTTAAACATAAGAAGCAATAAAAACCCTTTGACGTTTTAGTTGCTTTCTAATATACACAGAGAATCAACGAAAATGAAACAAAAGACTTGACTTGATCTACCTGACAAGGTTATAGTTTTTGGTTTTAATCGATGTACAACAATTTTCTTTACAATGTATTTTGAATTCAGACAACTATATTTGAATTTTATATACCTATGTAAACACTTAAGTTGATATTACTGTTATACGTACAGTTAATTATTAAGTTCGTCATTAAAGTTGGTAGGTTTCACAATATTAATTATATATCATTTTTTACTTGATAATAGTTTTGTGTAATAGTCATAGAAAAATACTGTTGCACAAAATTGCTCACTTTGTTTTAACTACTACAAGCTTGCATGCAACCTGGCTACTTACACGTCAGTAACTTCTATAAAACGTAAGGTTTTCACTTGACCTTTATCTTTATTTTCACTATCACCAGAAACAGACATTTTACAACATTAAGTAGAAAAATATGACTGAAGAGTTATTTTATTTTGTTTAGCCATTGCCATAGTAACAGATATCGACATAATATTTATTCAGAATACCAGCTTTTCCCCGCGGCTCCGCTCGGAGAAATTAATACTGTTTCTCCATAAAACCTTTTAACTTCCAATTCACCCTTACAACGTTTTAATTTTATGTAATGTCGCCACCTTAGATTTCAAATACAAACGTAGCAACAACATTTCATCCTTAAGGGTTGATTTTTAAAAATTGCCAAAACACGTATTTGCTTAATTTCAACAATGAGCAAGCCTCGAGTAATTAATAATATCAAACAGCATATATACCAAGTTTCATGTAAATTCAACCACAAATAAAGTATATCCCAAACAAAAATTGCAACACCTTTTTACTCTCCCCCCACCCCTTGAGGTTGAATGTTTTAAAATGTCGAGATAGCTCTTTCAGAAATTAAATGAGAGATCATTAAGATCAAGTTTCAAGTAAATCTGATCATAAATAATATATATTCCATTTAAACATTGCAACTCCTCTTCACCACTCATCCCCCCAACAGAGATTGAATTTTTAACCAGTTTCAAGTAAATGGGACCAAAAACAAACATGCAATCTTTGCAAAACCCTTTCAGCTTCCTAAAGAGGGAGGTGGAATTTTTTAAAATGTTGAAATAGGTAATGTATGTCACTAATTTTATATGAGAAAGCATTAAAGCCAAGTTTCAGTTAAATCTGACTATAAATAAAACACCATACTTAACGATCGACAAAATTACGTTTAGGTGTCAATTGCGTTTTGTTATACAATTTTTAACAAATGAACGGCTAAACTGATGTTTTGACTGATAAATTTTTCGTTTTGCTGTCCATGTCAATTGTGTTTAGATATACCACGTTTATCCCTTGGAACGTGATAAAAAGTATCCTATATCCTTCTCCCTACCTCCTCACCAATTTTCAGCCAAATCGGTTCAGTCGTTCTTGAGTTATAAACAGTGTAACTAAGACGACTTTCTTTTATAGATATAGATGTAGATGTAGATGTAGATGTAGATTTAGGTGTAAGTGTACATGTAGATGTAGGTGTAGGTGTAGGTGTAGATGTAGTATGTCACACCTTATTTCGTTTGAGTCTGATTACTTTAATTAAGATGTAAATAAAATTATAAAATAACCCATTTTATATCTGCACATTCAGAATCTTCGTGTAAATCGCAGATAATTTCAACAAAACAGTAATAAATCAACATTTGATTATGCTTTTCGCGACTTATTTTTAGAATGCTTGTACAAAGTGACGTTTATAATTAATAATATTTTAACCAGAAGTTCCGAGTGACATCTGGAACAAAGTTTTATAACAATTTTGACCTTAGGAACAAAAAAGAAATTTAAAAAAGTGATAATAGTACTAGATATCGATTGCACAAAAATTCAGAGTGTAGTCGGAATCACAGGTTTGTTCTCCATTTGGTGTTAGCTATTAGTTATTATTTAGTTTATATTCAAAGTGGTGTTAAGATGTTATTTATGTTTTGTTAAAAGTAAAGGAGATATCGAAACAAAATTTGTGCACCGATTTGTAAAATCAAAATCATTGTATATTAACGAAGTATCATTGAAATTACTACTTAACTAAAACGGATTGGAATTTAATAATTTCATACAGTTAAATATATTAAAATACTTTAGCTTGCATCTCACTTTCCATTAGATTTATTTAATTAGCAAGTTTTAAATTTTGATGTCTCAATTTCAGCGGTTACGATAAACTGTTAATACATAATTTTAATTCCAAAATAACTAGTATTTTACATTTGACTTATTGCAAATTAATGTTATCAATGACATTAATCCCAATCTATGTTCGTGGACTTCATACGACAAAAGAAATAACAAGTATTTATTACCTATTTTTAACCTGATAACAACTGTTCTATGGTTTAAATCTAATCATTTTCATTAAATTGATTGAAGTGTAGTTCATCCCATCTCATCCTTTCCTCTTGTTCTAACATTTTTAAAGTCTAGTCTATATGTTAGTCAAAGAAGTCTTTGAACAAAATTGAGCGATTATTGTTCAAGAAACTACTAAAGGTAATTCCGGGTGAGATGCCCGTTTGGAGGGTATTCGTTAGTTTTCCCTCAAATTGTAACTGTAGTTTATTAGTCATGCATTTGACAGAAGGCAAGCGAGAGTGAAGCATCTTCTGTTAAAACAGCGAAATAGGTGTTAAAATCATCTAATTTATAGATGTTTCCTTCTAATATATAATTGTCCTGCATCCACAGAGTGAAAAAATATCAATGTGTATATTGAAAGAACTATTTAGTGAAAATTATAGAACTATGTATCTTACTGAATGTGTTTTGAGTTTGCTGACCATTAGTTTACATGGAACGCTGTTTAACGGAGTAGAGTATCTTTCTCCTACTAAAAGAACAGATGGCCACAAAAAGTACGGTAGAGATACCCAGCAAATTTTTACGTTTTAATCAATAATATACAAAACTTTTGAATTAAATTTCATCCTAGCTAGCTAGCAAAGAGATCTAAATGAAGTAATTCGAAACGTAAATTCTGGTGAAACTGGCGTTAATGAAGATTATAAAATCCCATCTAGGACTTTGCGTCCTCAAAGGAAAACTGGGGTCACCAAAGATCTTTCTCTAAGAGCGAAAACCTGTTTAGGCAGCGAAAATGAAAAACGTTTAGTGAAGCACATAAAAAACTTAGAAAAAATTCATTTTGGACTTGATTGGGAATGTAATTAAATATTCGTCATAAATCTAATTAGGACACAAAAATGATAGACTATGACTGCCTCAATTCACTTTTACGAAGAAACAAAGAGATTATTATTAAACAGGCTCAGTAATTAACAATTGCTAGAATGGATGAATCGTAAAGTCCTTCAAAATTTTTAGATGAATGACGTCCTGTACCAGTGCTTACAGAAACTGATAAAAAGAGAAAAAAGTAGTCTGGGGGGTTTTAGCATGCAAAATATCTAAACCAAGAAAGTTAAATACAGAGGAATATTCATCTTCAGATGACGAAGTTCTAGCTGTACGAAAATATAAAGCCTCTACCGAAGAATTTTGTACTGAGTACGATAAGAAGTTTGTGATATAAAACAACGGATTGACTGGATACAATGTATTATTTTTTTTTCAAAAAGTGATTGCAAGAAACCTACACCATGCATGCAAACAGATGTAACTCGAGTGAGCGTAAAGAAGTGCGTGAAGGTCATATAGAAAAACTAAACTATGATTTTCTTGAAAATCAAAAATGAAATTTATTCTAAACAATATTTCACGACGCTATCAGCCTTCACTTACATTTTATTAGTGGATAAACAAGTAAATAATCAATATAAGAACAAAGGCTTTCACGGCCGGAATCTCATAGTAGAATGAAGATTCGAGCTATAGGGCCGTGGTCTAAGTGAACTATAGTGTTCAGACGTTTCGTCAGCCATTGCGGTTGACATCCTCAGTGGTATTGATGCCACTGTCGCTGTCGAGACTTCGAGATATAATCAACGTTCACGTTGTCAACGCAGCACTACCACTGAGGATGTTAGCCGCAGTAGCTGACGAAACGTCTGGACACAATAGTTCACTTAGACCACGGCCCTATAGCCCGAGTCTTCATTCTACTAGTAAATAATCTTTCATAAAATGTATATTTAACAGTTACCATTCTGTAGATCAAATGCTTAAATTATTTTAAATTCACTGATCAGATGTATCTAATTTAATTTAATTCGATAAAATAATTCTTTCGTTGCTTCTTTCGTGGAGTCCTTGTATATCAGAGCGTAAGTTTACTCTGTCGTTCATTTTAATGAAAATCACTTTACTAACATTCCTCTTATACCAATTACCTTCGCCGTCTGAAATTTTTGTGTTTTAAAAGATGAAATTATGTCCTGTGTCAAAATGATGGTTTGCCAATGTTGTTTACTTTCTTTCCGTAGGTTGATATTCTTGCAATCATAAACTATAGGTATCTTGGTCGATGTATTTGGCCAATTTTTGTTTCATTTGTCCGATATAACATTTGTAGCGTTCATTATTCCTGATTTTTCGAAAACTGATATTGGAACTATAAATTTGGTGTTAATTGATTATATCTTTTTTGTTATAAAGAGCCATTTTATTATTGGTTCCAGTGAATATTGGTCTTGTAAAAAAGCGATTCCACAAAAGAAAATTTGATATTTGTTTTTTGTTGCATAATTTTACACAACATAATGGTTACCTGCTTAGTTGTTCTCTTTAATGTTCAATTTTGTTTGTGGTAGTTGGAATGACTCTAAAAAATACATTCTAAAATGCATTCAAGTATAAATACAAATACTGTTACTTATATTATAGTATTTAAATATATTAAACATACATACAATACGTGGCTTTATATTTAAGTATTTAAATACAAATACAAGTATTCAAGCATTGAAGTAAAAATACAAATCTTTGCGTTATATTTAAGTATAAAAACGCAAACACATTAATGTTTTGTTTAAATAATTTGCACACAAATAATATATTTTGTTTCGTGTTGTAGTGTTCTGTTTTCCTTTTCTTATTCGAAGAACCACCCTAACTATTAGGGAAACGCGTTACGATAACGGCAGCTACTTTATTGTATCAAAAAATGAGCTGAATACATGATTCTACCAACGTAAACTTCTCATAATTCTAATAGGACAACATTACACATTAGGTCCCTTCAACATGTCGAAGCCGAGTCCCTACGCTCTCTGCAACACCACGCATAACCCTTTCTCTCTTCCCGTTGCGCTACTTTGCCAGGTCAACATGCCAGATCCGTTGAAATGTACACTTTTTCATGTATTGTATTAATAATGTTCACTTTACACCCATAAAAGTCAGGTTAAGTTTTTGATAATTTAGTCATCATAATCATCGGCGTTAATTGGTAATAAACATACTTTCGATAAAGATTGTCTTAAAACTGTTCCATTCGATAGTCGCACCGATACAAGGCGCACAATGTTATCCGCACCAAGATGTAACACTAATGATATCATAATCATTGGTTTCAAATATTTTGCGCTCGTCGGTAGCTAATTCGTTTTCGTCTTTTAATTCTATTTCAGTTTGAATTTTCTCAAATTCTTTTAATAATGGGATCGCGTCGTCAAACCGCGTTATGAGTTGTTTTTTAGAGTGTTTGGTTGGAACAAATTCAGCTAAATAACTGTCAAGCCTTTCTAGTTTATACTTAATCGTCTCTCTTTTAGTTTTCAATTACGCCAATGCGGCTATTATAATAAAAGAAATGAGTACTTGCTAGGTATATAAGAATTGCATTGAAGCGAATGGCGGGCAATTTCAACATTTTTTATACTTTCTTTTTCACGTTTACTTTTTTTAGAAGGTGGAAGTGCATTCGGCTCCTTCCCCAGTAAGTACTTGTTACATCCACACTAGACCAGCTGAGCGACGACATCCAGGTGGACCAAATGGTATGTTCAAATTTACAAAGACGATTTGCGAGCTCAATTGTCACTGGATTGAAAAATTGTATAACACTTTTTTGTTGTATTTTGTGTTAGGAAGTCAAGTTTTGTTTTATTATTATAAATGAAACACCCTGTATAATAGTGACATCTATGGAAGAAAACGTCAAACTGAGGGCTTTACAATATTGTTGAAGTTGCTCACAAATAAGGATATTTTATGTCAAAGGATTATTGATTTCAAGGAACAAGTTGTCACGCTCAATTTAGAAACGGTGTCTCCACCATACATGGCATGTCAGTAATTTGTTACTTTGGCTTTTTTGTTAATTATTTATTTTAATTATCTGATTATAATGCATCTTGATTATTTTGGCGTGACAGGGGGTAAGGTATTAAGATGATAAGAAAATGACCAGAGCTATCGAACTGGCGTCAATTCCTTTCGCTTACTGCTTCGTTGCTGCGGAATGCCAAATACGCTTATTTTGCACGTAAATGAACTCAGTATCTCTTTTATGAATTTAGAAAGAATAGAAACGTTATAACTGTGAAATATTTAATTAATTTTGAAATATGTTTTAAAGTCTAAAATGGTTTTTTGAGTCTCTTTAAAACTTCACTGCGTGACAATATTTGAAATGAACACCGCAATTCTTACTCGCAACGTTTTGTCAGCGATTTATTGTTGACCACTTCAAACGATTATTGGATACCAACAATGATTTTAATTAGTTGAATAGATGTAACTCACCAGTGTTACCTGGTTTATTGCATATGTAAAAGCAAGCATTTTTACATTAAATGTCTAAAATGAATGCTACAGAATTCTTTTAATAGTATTATTAAGGGTTAATTAAAAAAAGTACACAGTATTTTAACCTAACCTTAAATAAAACCGAGAAAGCTTACGAGAAATTGTAACCTTAAATAATAATTACTAAATGTATAAACATGAAAACAGAAAATCTTTTATCAATTCAAACAAATGTAGCAATATACAACATCCAAAAATTATTCATTAGCATTAACTGAAGAATTATACAAAAACTTATTTTATTTTAATAAGAGGATCTTTCCCATTTCATTAAATTTGAGTATTTAATACACTTTCACTGTTCATCAAGTCAATTTCGCTTTTGTTGTGTTTCGATTTGGATCTAAAGCTCCGAAGGCTGTCAAGGAGGTGGTTGTTGTCCTTTAGGTTGCGAAAACAAATAACCCCCAATATTATAAATAAAACTAGAACTAATACTGATAAACATATAATTATAGTAGATGCACTTTCCTTGGCATGTGAAGCAGTTGTTTGACCAGTTGACAGAAATTCCGATTTTAGTTGATTGGTAGCATGAAATGCAGTTAGTTGTCTAACTGTCGTATGCAGTATTGCGATATTGTCGGATATATTTCTCATGAAGGTGTTGGTTTTGTCCATAAATGTCGACGTCTTGGTGGGGTCGACATATGATGTATGTGGTGCGTTTTCGTTATTCAACAGTGATTCTTGTTGGTGAGTGGATTCTTGTAAATGAACCATCCGCTCAGAATTACTTAAGATTTTTTCTAGCAAGTGCTTTACTTCTATTATCATGTCAGCACTATACGTTCTGTTTAATACATTGTAGAGGTTTAATAGTAATTTATGTCCAGTAGTATCCGATTCGTATTGATTAGATAATACAGAAATGTTAAGGTGCGTAACGTTATCAACACCCGCCATTTTCGACATTTTGTTTATTTGCACAATTTCCACAACTTTTCCAACAAGGTTATTGTTTTTTGAAATTTTCTCTGATATTTCCGTTAAAATGTTTGAAAGGTGCTGAAAGTATAGTTGAGTTTGAGATCTATCGATTGTCGAGGAGAGGTTTGTCGAGACATTGTTCCTCGAAATGGTCATGGAAGATTCATCTGAATGTAAAGCTGATGGGGTACAGTAGATTCCATGCAAATTATCTGCCTGGTAGTTATTACCTGATTCTACCACAGCATCGGTCATTCTAAATGCCTTTAGTATAGCAAACAATGTATCACATGTCCACTTATTCCCAGACAGATGTATACGTTTTAATTTTGTAAATATTGATATCAATTCTTCTGCGTCTAGATAAGTCAAGCCATTCTCTGATAGGTTTAGATCCGTTAAATGTTGCATGGAGTATAAGGATTTGGAATCTATAGCAGTTAAACGATTATGTGAAAGACTGAGATATTCTATACCGGTCAGTCCTGACAGTATCCCGTATGGAATATTGGTTAATGAGTTTTTAGATAAATCAAGTATATTTAGTTTTGTTAAACCCTTGAACATAGACGGAGGAAAAGACTGTATTTGATTACCACTTAAGTTCAGTAGTCTGAGTTCTGCAAGGGAGTGAAATTCACTGGGATTTAGTTTGTTTAAATTATTCTGAGATAAATCGATTTCAGTAGCGTTAACGAGCGACGAAAATAATTCTTCCTCTAATATTTGCAGTTTATTTTTGTTTAGATATAATCGTTGCAAGTTCCCAAGGTCTTTAAAAACATCTTTATTAAGGTTTTCTAAGTTATTATTCGACAGAACTAATATTTCAAGTCTCAGGAGATGATTCAATGTTCCAATAGCTATTTCTGTAATGTTGTTGTGATTTAAATTTAATTCTCGGAGTTTCGTTAATCCTATAAATGCGCCCATTTCCAAAGTGTTAGTCCCAGTGTCATTCAAGTAGAGCCTTTTTAAATTAGAAAAGGTATGAAATGCTAGGGATGGGATTTTGTTTAGGCTGCTGTTTAAGAAAAGGAGGTTGGTTGATTGATGCATATATGAGGACGAATACTGTACGAATAATTCTCTCGGAAAGTTTCTAATGCTGTGGCAAGTAAAGGATGAACTAGAGTAATAGTCTCCGTATTCATCACAACAGTAAGGGAGGCTTCCAGGATAATAATCACACTCTTGATTACCATGAATTCCTTTAGGAATGAAATTGATTATGTGGATGATTAAGAATAATATCCATAACGAGTAGAACTTTTTCATGGCGACCACCTAAAAGAAAAATAAATGTGCTTTTATATACAGTTACTGAGGTTCATTTATGTTTTAGAAGGAATAAAATTAAAAAATAGGAGAAGAATTATAATCAGCTATTCTTACATTCTTAACGGCTTAGTAATTGTGTCTGCGTAAAAAGGCTTCTTTAATTATAATTACAATTGCAACAAAAAAATTAGGCTGATGCCCATAATGCAATTGGTTATTTTAATTTTAATGGATTAGTTTATGAAATCTTTGTAACAGAATATACAACAAATTCTATTTATTTAGCACCAAAATATACACTTATGCACTCTACACACGTTTCGCCAACTGAATTTTTATCATCAGGAGAGAAACTTAGGTCTATTTACAGTAGTACAAAACCTACCATTCTACAGTATCACGCTTAGTCAGGCCGCACACCTAAGATACAAATGTTGCGCCACAAATATGTTGGACGGAAAGTATTTGAAGTCATGCAGCATTTACATTACTTGCCAGAAAAATCAACTTGTTCGATATTTGTTGCGACATATGTCGCGAAGGTACAAAAAATGTGGACTATTGATCTGATACTATACTAGTGCGAAAGGGGCAAGGTGAACCATTGAAAAGGGCACGTATAATTTATGGCTTGAATATTAAGATACTTTAAAATTTAAAAAATTGCAATGTTATGTTACTTTTTTGGGGGAAATCAACGTCTTCAAACAAAAAAACAATTGAATGCTAAATACAGAAATTAAATTACAGAGTAATAAGTCAAAAGGTTTTATTAAATTTGGTGAAATATAGCAACATTTCTTCTGCCTAATAATTGTCACATCATAAAATCATCTTCGACAGAAGACGACAATGCTAGTGTGAGTGCTCATACCGCATTTGTAGGAAATTAAACAAATGTTGAACGATATATGTGGTAAGACATTTGTGGCGTAACATTTGCACCTTAGGTGTGCGGTTTCACTTGCAACCTGGCTTAATCATAAATAGCTATCGTGTGTGTGTCCAATAATTTATCGTCGCGTACATTTATTTAAAAGGTTTTCCATGTATATTTTATGTTTGTTTTCAAAAGTGTGTTTTACAATATTTGATCATTATAAATATCAGATTTCCTATCATCATGAGAATTGAATGTTAGATAAAAATATTAAGATATTTTGAAGATTTCTTATAGACTTCTAGTTTACCCGTTATGGTCTTTGATGTGATCCTTTTTCTTATTTAACCTTTCCTTACTAACAATAGAAATTAACCATGCGATGAGTAAGAAGTTAAAAATCCGATAATTGTGTTGATCTTAATGAAAAGAATCGGATAGAGTATGTATCATATCAATTAGTACAAGTAAATTTTCTGTTCATGCCAATTTTTGTTTACTATTATTCGTACTAGTTGTTCAACCCTACCAGTCACTGTGAGCTCGAAACTGTTAGCACCATTGCTTCGAGTGGTCGAAATTCCCTTTTGTGAACAATTTGTTTAATCAGTTTCTTTGTGTTAAAAATTGTTTGAAAAATTAAATTTAAAGGAATTGTTTGTAAATAGATATGCAACACATCGTACACTTTAGCATAATAAATTGCTAATACTAACTACGTAATACTACTTTACCCTGTGCTAACAGCACTCATAATTTCTTTTATATATAATATTTACTAAGGGGTCTACAAATGGCAGCTGTCCATTGCTTTCCAATTCGTAAGTAACTTTGGTCGTGGTGAACATCGAATTGAATTTGTTCGCAAATTATTCTGTCGTATTAATAATTATAATAATAACATTAATTAAGTCATTTAGTATACATGGACGACATAAAACTATTTGGCACCTCCAGACAACAGTTAAACAATTTATTGAAAATTA